ATTGCTAAATTAAATTAAAAGCTAATTAATAAAACTTGATCAATACATACATAACTACTCCCTACTACAACAATTATAAAAAGAGACGATACAAAAAGCCGTGGTGGAATGGACATTGGACTGAGTTATGAAAAATATGTGAGTGGCTGAAAAGAACTGGTTAAAAGAGGGGTGTCCATAAAAAAGTTTAAATCTCTATTTGTAACAAAACGAAAGCATTTCGATAGGTGTCTTCAACGTTGTAAACGGCAACATGTAGATAAAGTGTAGAGAGATATTGCTGAGGTCGCTAATGAAGACTGTCATTTGTTTCTGGAAAGCTCTAGGTCGGGTTGGAGTTGGTAGTGAGCGGTGCAAGGCCGTACCTATGGAGATTATATTACCTGATGGTACTGCCTCTACTTCCGATTCAGAAGTTACGGATAAATGAGGAGGACATACGAAGTGATGACTTGTACCCTCAATGTCAAAGGTCAAAAATGCGTAAACCACGGGACCCGATGACATTACTATTAAGTTTTAAGGAATAACAACACTATGCTGTTCTTGTAAAATTGTTTAATATATGTTACAGTACAGGGAAGATCCAAGAAATGTGGTCTAAGAGCATAATTAATCCTATACCGAAATCTAACACCTCATACCCTAGAGATCCCCTCGCATAAAGGGGGATAAGTTTAGTTTCGGTGTTACAATTGTACTGTAATGTCCCGAATAATATATTCGCATTTGGGGCGGAAAACACAGGTTTTATTGCGGAAGAACAAAATGGCTTTAGAAAGGGTAGGAGCATAATAAACCAAGTAAGGATAAGATATATGGATGAACAACTTCTATCTTACCATTTAGGAGCGACGTTTCGGTATAGGTTCTGACACTGTTATCAAGCAGATGACGAGTTGATGGTACAGGGGCTATGTAATCGCCTTGATCACGGCTGGGATTGTCACGGAAGTGGTCTGATAGTTACAGCATCTAAGGGGACAAAATCAAAGCCCTCACTGCCACCCTCAAAGACTGCAAGTTAAAAACAGCTACAAGAAGACTCCAACCTTCTATGAACCGTGGGGGCCACGGGTGGCCCAGTCGTCTAAGGCGCCGCGATTCGCTGTGCAGAGTTGCGTCCCTTGGTCACTCCAGAAACCTATGATTGTGGGTTCGAATCCAGGTTCGCCCCGATTATGTTTCTAGGTTTGTCAGCACCATACCCGTGCTCGTGGGTTTCACCGAAGTGGTAAACGTCTGAGACCTGCATCACTTCGGGCTTTCCTCCCACATTAAGCTGACACGCCGCGATATAACTGGAATACTGTTAAAAGCGGCGTTAAACCCAACTCACTCACTCACTCTATGAACTGTGATCAAGGCTATTACATACCCCCTGTGTACCACCAACTCATCAAAGACCCCAATCAGTCATAATTCTTTTGTTTATACTACTGGCTTCACCTGTTATGATGTGTACCTTATATCAGCCCTTTTGTGTACATAACAGGCTTCTCCAATCTAGGGTAACTACATCCCAATCTATTGAACTGTAACACTGCCTCATACCTGTATATATGCTTGTCAACCATACTTTGTACATCACTAGCTTGATATAGGTGTTAGAACCTAAACAGAGACGTCGCTCCTAATTGCAACACAGAAGTCATCCATTTCAAGTTGTGTAAGGGTTAATGGTCTTACGACAGACTGGTTTTCGGTCAAGTGTGGTGTAAAACAAGGATGCCTCTTGTCGTCCTTCCTATTCAACCTGTAAATAAACAACTTAGCTTTTGCTCTTAAGGCTTTAGATATTGGAATAAGAGTGAACGGAGTGTTCATATGCGTTTTCCAATATGCTGAAGTTGTAGTTCTTTTGTCGGTAACGGAATCGGTTCTCCATATCTTGTTTGACAGCCTTGGTAGCTGGTGTGTGAATAATAATAACATACAAATTAATGGGGATAAACCTGAGATAATGCACGTCCGTAATACACAGGTTATATCACGATCGTGTCAAGCATTAGTTTGTGGCAATACTGTGTTAAATACAGTTGATATTGAATATTGTCCTGGGAAAAAATGTCCTTGGAGGCGAGTTACCATTTGAATGACACTAGATGAAATAAGTTATTATTTTCGTGGACAGAACAGCACCATGCGGTAAAAATAAAAAACCCTGGAACTATCACGTGCGGGAGTTCTGTTTAAATCATAGAATTTGTGAAAAATGTATTATTCTTGTGTGTCTTTCGAAATCAACTGTGAATGATGTATTGAAAAAAAAATATGGGCTTATCGACAGGCCGTTTCTTGGTATCGTTTATTTAAAACAAAATATGGAAAACTACGTAAAATATTTAATGCCTGGTTTAGAAGCGCCCTTGCTAAATTTAGGTGCGGTGTTGCTCCCATTCGATTTGAAACCGGGCAATATGAGAATCTTCCTGTCCATCAATGTATTTCTTTATTCAACGTACTGAGGAGGCCACAGGCCTATAGTACAATCATGATTACAGGAGCAATTGGTACAATCATATAATTTCCAAACTTGATTTTCTTTGTATAAAAGCATGATATATGTACATAGAAAGATTTCTTATGGTTTCAATGTTGCTAGTGGTCATTAACAGTTTAAACTTTAATGTAGAATGGTTTACATGAAAATATTTTGGTAAATATACTTTTCTTAGTTCATCATAATGCGGGCATACTAGTAAAAAGTGATACTCGTCCTCAATTAATCCTAGGTCACATAGTGGACAGAGTCTATTTTCTCTCGGGATATTTTGATATCTACCTTTTTCAGTTAAAAGATCGTGTGATGAACATCGGAATCTTGCAAGTGCTACACTAAATTTTCTAACACTGAAAAGGTATAGCTCTGCAATGATATATGACTTGAAACTGTATATGCCCCTATTGCAATAAAAGTGTGATAGAAAACGAAGTCCATGTTTTATCGAATGAGCCTGTTTACGGTAACTTACGTTGTAATCTTTTGCAAACTGCATGTTATTTAAATAGTTCATTTAAAAAATATAGAAGGCTAGAGCAGCTATGCTTTTTAATATCCAGTGAGTATGTGCCATAAAATCTGCTTCCATATTCTACAGCGACGGAGGAACATGTTTTGTCAGTGACAGTACCAGTATTTGTACATGGATTATATATCATCTTTTACAACAGTCTCTCATAATTCCATAAGGAATGTCCCAAGTATTATCATTCAAATATATGATTCTAATGTAATATTGGTGTACATCGGTGTGAGATTATAATAAATAATCTATCTGCTATCGACCAAATCACCGAACCCGACCACCGGATCCATTAAACCCTCCTGGCCATCGCAGACTTTTGACCGGTCTGTTTGATGGTTGTGGAGGTTCCAAAACTCAACTGGAATGTCATTCTTAGTGATCAGAGTAGATGGACACCCAGTGGTATGATGCAGACACTTCCAATATGTACAACACAACTTGATTGGTAATCAAAACCTTTCAAGGGGATAGGTGTTTACTCAAAATCCAACTGTCAAAATTAATGTTAACTTCACCTTCTAAGCTTTTGGGCTAACTAGCATTTACCTTTCTGGAACAGACTATAATCCCCCTGCCCCAATGCCCTTAATCCTCCCGGATTTCAGTTTGGAGCTAACAAGGAGGTAACCTCCCAAAACCCCTACATCCCATTTCCCCTACAGCTTAAGACAACAAAGTTCACGGTCCATGGCACTGCTAATCCCTAGTCTGTTACCTATTTCATACAATGGAACAACCCAAGAAACACGAATATAAATATTTAATTACGATTACGATATTATTTAAAATTCCTAATACATTATAATAAAATGTTCATTTTTCAAAATTCATAATACATTATAACAAAATGTAACAGTGTACGCAAGTCAGTCTCTCGACGTTCTTAGTGTGAAGATAACCATCAAATAGGACTTGGGGCTTTCCTCTCTGTGACATAGCCATGTTGATGTCATGTTAGTCAGTTTCAAGTATCTATATACTAAACCTAGCCATCTCAACTGTAAATCGTCTCATCTCAGTTTCTCAGTGTAATAATTGTTTCTTCCTATTGTTATTTTTGTAATTTCTAAAAATTGTTTTGTCATCATACAGGCATCTTTCATTACACTTACATTAAATTATTTTGTTTAAACTTTCCTTTAAGTCCCCCAATCCCCTAAAGCTCTACCCCTTTCATTTCTACTATCTCTACTCCAGACCTTAACCTCTCCTTTAGGTGAGTTCATAATGCCAGACAGGTAAATGCCGCGTGTTGTTTTAACTAATTGTAGGGGAACTGGGTTGTAGGGGAAATGGGATGTAGGGGTTTTGGGAGATAACCAACAAGGAAGATCCCGTTCTAATTGGGAATCCACACCAGAACAGATCTTCTTAAACGATGAACTTTTACTGATCCGTATTTCAAAGGCTATTCCTACTGTGAGCAATTTACACTACTTCTATCCAGCTCCGATCTCACCTTTTACGTGGCCAAAACCTGCTATGATATTTTATTGAAGCGCCGATCTATTTTATATTCATGATGTATATATTGTATTTATATTCATTTCAGTATACATGTTTGTTTTATGATCATATCGTCTCTCATAAGTCGTTTTACGACTGGCCGTAAGTTTTACGCGTGTTTTGATTTTATAGGTATATTGTACCTTATGGGTGAGACGCAAATAGGTTATTGTCTAACTTCTTTCAGTGGCATTTAAAAGTTGGTGTGATGAAGTAAGACGAGTTCTATGGATGAACAACTTCTTTATTATAATTAGTGCGACGTTTCGGTGTAGATCCTAACCCCTTTATCAAGCAAGTGATAAAAGCACTTGCTTGATAAAGGGGTTAGGATCTACACCGAAACGTCGCACGAATTGCAATAAAGAAGTTGTTCATCCATAGAACTCGTCTTACTTCAAGTTATTGTCTGTCTGTCACACCGGACTTAAATGGAAATCTACCACCTTTCTTTTTTCAGGATTAATGGCAACAATCGGCAACGTCTTAGTGCTGGTTGTGTTCTACAAGCATAAGAAGCTGAGGAAGAATCCCCACAACCAGCTGCTTCTGAACCTCGTTATCTCCGACCTGGGCATCTCTCTGTTTGGGTATCCGCTGACAACATCGTCTAATTATGCTGGCAGATACCTGTTTGGGAAAGTTGGTTGCGTCATACAAGGCTTCTTGACTTTCACCCTGGCACAGACCGACATGAATACACTGGCTTGTTTGAGTGTCTATCGTTTCATTGCAGTGTGTATGCCGGGGGATGGTAAGATTTTATCTTAAAGCCCTTAAAACACGTGGTAAATATATATTACCAAAAACAAGTTAAATAACACCAACTGTTGAAAGACTGTGTGTTGCAATACCACCAGCCGTGAAAGATTAACTAAAGTCATATGAGCGAGTGAGTGAGTATGGTTTTAAGCCGCTTTTAGCAATATGTCAGCAATATCACGGCGGGGGACACTAGAAATGGGCTTCACACATTTTACCCATGTCGGGAATCGAACCCGGGTCTTCAGCGTGACGAGCGAACGCTTTAACCTCTAGGCTACCTGACCGCCCCTAAAGTCATATGAAAACGATCGGGTGTATACATGTATATTGTTAACATTACATTAGTAAGTCTGTATTCAGCTTTACATAGGCTAGAGATATACTGGAATCTAGTTAATCGGCATTTTCTTTTTCCGACACTTTTTAATCTACACAACGTTTGTTTAAGAAACGGTGCAACCTCGTCAACCCTTTGTTTATGTTTATGTTTAAATCTGTCCGTTGTTAAAGTGATCACGTATCAGACAGACCGACTGCAAATGTGGGTATCATTTCGAAGATGCTTTCCATTTTCTATTTACCTGCAGAAACCACGCAAATATTAGAAATAACATGTATTTTACACCCATGGATATAACCTGACAACAGTTTTATACGGCAGATCTTCATTCAGCGATGCAAACGGCATTGAAATTCTTAAATCAGTCCACGATTTTACCGTAAAACGTATAGGATTCGAATAGTAGTTATAATAATCTGAATACATCTTTGATAAAATATTGAAATTGAGATACTTCACGCCTTTAACTCAGACACGACCAGCTCTAACTTACGGTTACAGATTAATTTTATGTTTTGTACATATATATTCAACATGAACATATTTATATAATGTCAACAACTGTATTCTGTTTTTTCCCTGGAGCGGTATTTATATAAGTAATGTTTTGCATGTTTACCGATCCAGATTTCATTTAAGAAATAAAAATATGAACACAATGTCATTTAGAAAGTGGTCAAATGTAACAAATGTTATATCTGGGATAACACTTAAGGTGCCTCACTCTGGCGGCGTGGGTTCGAATCCCGGATGGGACTCAACCCCAAAAAAGTACGAGAATCTGTACTTTTACAAAGAAAGTGTTATCCCAATTATAACATTTTTTTTACATTTTTTAAAAGGAATTGTGTGTTCATATTTTTCGGCCATGGTAGCCGTGCCAATTTACACTTGTCAGAGGGGTACACAAAGTACGTGATCTAGACTACCAGTTGTCGGACTTTCATTTTTGTGGAAGCCTCGGTGGTATAGGGGAGGTTCGCTCGGGTCCAGAATCAAGTGGATAAAAGGTGGTTCTGGTGAGACTGGAAGTCGTTTGACCGATGTTTTATTAGGAGGGGACAACAGGGAGATATGAGGAGCGTCTCAAAACTAAAAATAAATTGACCCATCCGAAGTTGGTCTTTCAGGCGTTGGAATTTAGCCTCTCCATTTCAGTTTTTCTTCCGCTTTGGGGCCCGCTTGCCGCCTGCCTCACATTGTACTTGAAGTGTTGCGTTGGTCTGATTTCTGATTTTTAGAACATCTCAAACCAAATTCACATTCACAAGAAATAAAGAAAGACATTTTATTAGTGTGTTTCATCATAAACTACAATTTGCACAACGCCCGAAACATTTTGTTTGAATATATAATCATAAATGGTTGCACTGAGCTGTCATTGACTGTCGATAACGGGCGCCGCAGATCTTGATCAGTCATTGTCAAGACGTCCATGCATGTTTGGTTTTGTAACATCAGTAGCTAAAACTTTCGAAGCACAATATTTTGCCTCCACGATCGCGATAGGAAGGAATAATACTGCAAGTGATGATAACAAATCCGAATTATCAAGACGTAAGAAACAGTGCGCCAATGTATCTTTACCGGTGTTTTATGTACATTTGAAAAATGCAAGTCTTTGATACACATAACGAAGAGAATACTATAAGCGCTAATTTACTGTTAAGTGTTGGCTTCCATTTGTCCATTGCTAATCACGTATCAGCGCCAATTATCCCTGTGAAGATCCGGGGTAAAATAGGTCTTCAGCAACCCATGCTTGCTGTAAAAGGCGACTATGCTTGTCGTAAAAGGCCACTAACGGGATCGGGATTGGTTGATGCATGTCATCGATCCCAATTGCGTGGATCGATTCTCATGATATCAATCACTTGATTGTCTGGTCCAGACTCGATTATTTACAGACCGCCGTCATATAGCTGGAGTGCGGCGTTATACTCACGTACTGATTTTGACTGCCTCCGTGGTCTAGTGGTAGAGCGTCCACCTGGAGAGTGGAAGGTCGTGAGTTCGATCCCCGGCGCGTACCAAAAGACGTTAAAAGATGGTACTTGTTGTTACCCTGTCTGGCGCTCGGCATTAAGGGGCTAAAGGACTGGTCGGTTCGGAATCAGTATACTGTATCTGAGTGGGGTATTCATGTTAATTGCGGCATGGTATCTGAGTGGGCTAGCACTATAAAATCGACATTAGTGCGGAATAGTACAAGCAGCCACACATACACACGTGCATGCACGTCGCTATATACGCGATCTTGAACGCGACGTTAAACCCCATTTTACATCGCCTCACCTACTGCATTTTGTTCACGAGACGACGACTCCTGTCATCAAAACATGTATATCCCTCAAAGGATGCCGCAGTTGGCAGTTGGGAGACTTGCTGTGTTAAAACAAAGTAGACACAATTTTTGGATAACAACTTCTATATATTACGGCAATTGCGACGGTTCGGTAGAGATCCTTATACCGTTGTCAAGCACTCACCCATTCATCCACCCACACTCCCTACCCCACACACTCACTCACCTAACCAGGGGGCACGGGTGGCCCAGTCGTCTAAGGCGCCGCGATTCGCTGTGCAGAGTTGCGTCCCTTGGGCACGCCAGAAACCTATGATTGTGGGTTCGAATCCCAGTTCGCCCCGATTATGTTTCTAGGTTTGTCAGCACCAAACCCGTGCTCGTGGGTTTCACCGAAGTGGTAAACGTCTGAGACCTGCATCACTTCGGGCTTTCCGCCCACATTAAACTGACACGCCGTGATATAACTGGAATACTGTTAAAAGCGGCGTTACACCCAACTCACTCACACACTCACTCACAATAAAGTCATACAACAATTCAAAATCAACCCCTCAACACTATGTATAATATCTATCTATGTATTTGTACAAATGCCATTTCTAATTCATGTTACAAAATACACATTCAAGCCTGCAATCAGTAACCCTCCTATGTTTAACTTCAGTTCACCGCCTAACCCGTTCTGTGACCATCAAAGTGATAATATTCCTGTGGGTGTATTCCCTTTTATGGACCGTTCCTCCGCTTCTGGGCTGGAGCGCCTATACCTACGAACCCTTCGGGACCTCCTGCAGCATAGACTGGGACGACGAGGACTCCGGAGCTGTCGCTTACACATGGTGCCTAATTGTCTACTGCTTCATCCTCCATATCATCATCATAGCCTACTGCTACTACAAGATCGCCATGAAGGCCAAGGAGGTCCACTCAAGGCTCAAGCATTTTACCATTGGGGGAATATGCAACTCCGATTCCATGTGCCTGCGACGTGTTCAAATGGAGCGGAAATCAAGCCTTGTAAGTTCATTCATTCATTCATTCATTCATTCATTCATTCATTCATTCATTCATTCATAAAAAAACTGCCTTTTTATAACACTCTGCTAGTTGCGCATGTACAGTAACTGTACAAGTCACTTCTGTGTTCACGAATGGCCTAGTCGTCTTAGGCGCCGCATTAAACTATGCAGGAATCAGAAACCCATGATCGAATCCCGGCTCGCCCCGATTGTATTTCTTGGTTTGTCAGAACGCCTCACTCACTCACTCACATCTTTCTTTGTAACAGGAGACACACAATACCAAGGTTGATTTAAAAACAAGTTCAATGAAACGGCCAGTTTGTTAAATGTATGGGTGTATAAAAATTACAAGTAAACTCTTTGTTCGTCAAATAATATTGAAAATTCAATAATTTCCCCAAAATATGTTATCAACACAGGCATGTTTAAAACAATATGAACCAAACTGATTTCCATTCATTACCTGTTTTACATCTTAAACCATGATTTTGACTACTATGCGATTACCTCCCGTACATACTGAATTTGATAAACAATGTCTTTCCCCAGTAAAGGAGCACAGTTGCCTGTTCAGGCCGAAACTAATAAAATCCGTATGAAATAATAGAAATGCATGTACTGTCAATTCTATTATACATGTGAAAGTCATGTTCCCAAAACGAATTATTACAGACAATTGACAAAATTAGAAATGCATGGATTTTCTTTAAAATTCCCCAAATAAACCTCGGAGGCAGAATAACCTGATGGAATTTTTAGTTTCATTACGCATACTTACGTCTACGACTGTCATAACTTTACGATATGTTTGTTTCTATTGTTAAACGTCGCCCCCGCAATATTCGGTTACATCTTGATTGGTCGAATGTCAAGACTGAATTTGATCTGATCGGTCAAAAACCGCTTGAGTGTATTCCATCCTGATTGGTCGAATCGGTGTGACTGGCCAGGCATGACGGCCTCCAGGGCCCACTTGCACAAAGCGATCTTAGCGCTACAACTATTGTAAGCCTATGTTAAAGTATGGGAGTTACGATCATCTTAGCGCTAAGATCGCTTTGTGCAAGTGGGCCCTGAAATTTACTTAATTATCTTGTAAGAGTGAGTGAGTGAGTGAGTATGGTTTTACGCAGCTTTTGGCAGTATTCCAGCAATATCACGGCGGGGGAAGAAGTGTAAACAAAACCGAATGGGTCGTGACACCATTGGGTACATCATTGTATTATTGTAATAGTTTTTCTTTTACAATCTATCTCTTCTGTAATATAACCATGTAGCAAATTACACCACCTTTTCACAATAAATAATTCAACCATTTCAAACAAATATCTTAACACAAATCAGCACTTATTTTTCTTCATATCTTAGTGCTCCCTAAGTGAAAAAAATAAATTAAAATAAATTAAATATGAATAGGTGGTGATTCCGAAGTCGTATTATGTGATGGTTTATATTTGTTTTATTTGTTTGTATGTTTTTGAAGGAGAATACTCCAATTTCTTGTTTTCATATAACTTAAGACGTGAGTAGACGCAGATGGTTTGATGCAACGCGCTATTGTATTTCCTGGGTATATTAAGATGCGTCATACATATGTACGTTTCAACATTATGCTGAAGCGGTCGTTAAACTCCAAACAACTATACTGTTTCAACATTAAGCACAATGGCTAATTCAGTGGTATCAGTTCCAAATTCCAGAGGTACCAAATATGCTTGCCATGGAGGTTTTATGTACACCATAAACAGCTAAGAGAAGGCGTGGATCAATGAAAATACCGAAAGATAGACTCAGAAATATGAGATTACTGCCTTGGAATACACGGATTCCGTTGCGAACATGATAGGCGCGTGGGATTAAACTGCCCATATCTCCCGTATTGGTTTAGTAGTCAGTTTGCTGTCCATACTTAAGAACAAGTTAGTATGGTTTTACGCCGCTTTTAGCAATATCACGACAGGGGGACACCAGAAAAAGGCTTCACACATTGTACCCAATTGGGAAATCGTTCCGGGTCTTAACCGCGTTGACCACTAGGCTACCCCTCCGCCACCCCCTTACCCCTTTCGACGTAAGAAAGCACAATTCTGTTCACTCTCTTGCTAGCTAGTGGTGGGGGATGGGTGTGGGTGGGGTGTGGGTGTGTGTGTGTGTGTGTGTGTGTGTGTGTGTGTGTGTGTTGGGGGGGAGGGGGGGGGGGGGGGGGCGTCTCCGAGGTCCCTGCTCCACGTTTTAATAGCTCAGCGTGCCAATGTAGTCAAGTCAGCCAACGCCTGTACAGTAAAACAAACGGCCAACATTCTAGCTGAGCACTTCTTGAGGTGCAGACACTGCGGCCCTCACACTATTAGAAGCAACAGCATATTACAATGAAAGAAGTTCTCCAGTCTACTGTGCATTTCTAGATAATAAAAAAGCCTTCGACAGGGTATGGCTAGATGGACTTTTTCTAAAACATGGCGAATACTACGTATGTCTATGTACTCCTATGTCAGCTTTGCAGGCTATAGATCAGACTTGTTTCATGTACGCCAAGGAGTTGGTCAAGGCAGAGTTATATCTGCTTGGCTCTTTACATTATATATAAATGATCTGTTATGTGAGCTGGAACGCTCTAAGCAAGGGCTAAATCTGCCGTGGGCACATACTCCAGGCCAGCTCTTGGCAGATGATACAACACTGTTTAGTAGCTCACCAACAGGCCTTCAAGATCTACTCAATGTTGTAAATCAGTATGCATATAAATGGCAGCTTAAGTACAATGTCACGAAAAGCGCTGTTCTAATATTTGATGTGCAGCGTAAATTTACCTGCTCTCAATCCCTGTACTTGGGCAGTATGTGTGTTCCACTTCAGCAATCTATAATCTATGCAGGTGTCAGGATTAGCTCTGATAAGTCTTCCTTAGAACGAACACAATTAGCTTGTGAAAAGTTAAAAATGTTAATAAATAGTAATAATGATACTGGACTAAAGTTTGGAGGCATGAATCCAATCTCAGCAAAAAGGATCTGGGAACGAGTGATACTCCCATGCGGGCTCTATGGATGTAATGTCTGGGGACTATTAAACCTCAAAGAATACGATATGCTGGAAGTTATTCAACGTTATTTCAGTAGAAAAATACAGGGCCTTCCAAAATGTACATCAGGCACTGTTGCTGTGGACAACATGGGCTTGATATCTCTCCAATCCTTTATTGACAAACAGTCACTGTTACTACTTGGAAAACTATGCCGGTCCAGTTACAGCTATGTTTTTAAAAAGGTATTCATTACTCGCCTTGGGCAGTTTAGATACGAAATAGCGTTGGATAACTTCAGAAAACGATGTGCTTTGTCACCTGTATATAACATGCTTAGACTTGTCAAAAAATACAATCTCTATGCAGAAATCGAAGATTATCTTATTAAATGTAGCTTCCCAAGTAAAAAGGCATGGTCTGATATTGTTAAGGAAAGGATTATTTTTGCAGACCAGGAAGCTGTATGCTCTAAGCTGATATCTAGACTTAACTTAAATAGAAAGTCCTGAACAGTTCCCAAACCTGTCTCATCTTGTACGGCTGTGATGCCTAAATATAGAATCTAGGGAATGTCAATGTAGAATTGTAGCTCATGATATTATTAAGCATGTCTTTCTGTATTGTACATTGAATATGAATGACAGAAATGAACTATTTGAAATCATTTGTGGTGTGATAGATGTCTCTACATTTGCAAGACTATGTAGTGAGGACGATGATATAATCCTGTCTGTACTACTTGGCGGTATGCCTGAGTGTGTTAGCTCTTTATCTCAAAGTCTATGGGGTGACCTTATGGTTATTGTGTCAAGACATTGTAGGAAATGGCTGTATCTGTTACAAAACAGTTATAAGAATCCTTAATTGTCATGCATTTTGTAGTTATCATTTCTCATAATATTGTTAAATTGTACTACTGTACAGCTCTGTAATTAAACATAATATCATATATGATATGTATCTTCAATATCTGGAGGAAATAAAGAATATCTATCTATCTGTGGTGTACAATATGCCAAACTCTTACCAACCTATCTCACTCACTTCAAACATGTGCAAAGCTATGGAAGCCATGGTTACAAAAAGGGTTATCCACCATTTTGAAACCTTACAAACATATCAAACCTGATCAAAGCAGCTTCAGGAGGGAGACTTCAGTCTAGATCATATACTAAGACTGGAAAATGAAATAAAAACGGCTCAATTAAACAGACAATACTTAGTCGCAGTATTTCTGGACTTCAGCATCGCCTACGACATGGTATGGCCTGACGGAGTCCTCCCCAAATTAGCACAAAATGGAGTAGAAGGGTACATGGCAAACTTCATAGACAACTTCCTGCAAGATAGGTCGCTATCAGTGAAGATAGGGAACAATTAATTAGGTGCTATGTCACTGTGACCACGCCACTCAGCATCAAATACTGTCTTGAGCCGCATCCACAGGATACAATACACTGCCCTTAAGCTGGCCACAGGTGCAACACCAGGTACTTCACTTGAAGCAATACAATTAGAAACAGAACTCCCACTGAAAGTAAGAATAGCGCAGGCAACGTGATATCGTTCTGGAGACGAACACACAAACCCTTTGGTTAAAAAAGATATGTTATGGCAAAAACACCCGAGATGATGCCCTAGCTCGGAAAGATCCCTCACAAAAGCTGAGATATTAGTACGTGAACTCACCCGAAGTCACAATTGTGTTGGCATTCAGGCTCCAAGAAGTCTCTACAAAGAATTGCATACCCCCTTGGACTATACACACTCGCAAAGTTGACACTGCTTTAAAACCAGAAGTCACTAAAATAGAAAACCCAGGTTGAACCTTACTATGATCTGTAGCTGTCACTAAACTTCAAACTACCCGGGACAGATGGGCCCATTTATACTCAAAGGGGGGATTTTGAGCTAACTGGAAACTAACCGCTTAGCAAACCTTTGTAATAGCTTGTATACAGCTGCTTAGTTAACGAGCTTGTACACTCGTTCATTGATTATTCATCAGTGATCATTGTATGTGACAAGAGTGAGTGAGTGAGTGAGTGAGTGAGTGAGTGAGTGAGTTGTGTTTAACGCCGCTTTTAACAGTATTCCAGTTATATCACGGCGTGTCAGCTCAATGTAGGAGGAAAGCCCGAAGTGATGCAGGTCTCAGACGTTTACCACTTCGGTGAAACCCACGAGCACGGGTATGGTGCTGACAAACCTAGAAACATAATTGGGGAGAACCGGGATTCGAACCCACAATCATAGGTTTCTGGCGTGCCCAAGGGACGCAACTCTGCACAGCGAATCGCGGCGCCTTAGACTCTTTATTATATTTACGTGAGGTGAGGTATCGTAATCTCGCATGAGGCTTTAAATTAACAAAATCGAAGATAGTGTTATTACATTGGAAATAAGCGTCGGTATGTTTCATTATTTTCGGGCCTTCACGGTGCTTGTCTAGTTAGCGCCACTTTTAATGATGGGATAAACGAAAAATCACAATGTTGTACAACAGTCATGTACAACAGTCAGAGGACACGTTACATTGTACATGTTTATCGTGTTCTAATAAGAGTCCTTGTGTACTTTCACAAGTACTTTGCTACATCCTTAATTCTTGCCACTTCCATTCTGCTTCCACATCCGGTACTTGATATGGTGTAAGAAACAATTTATACATCTTTGATCCTCTTTGTTGAAATTCTAATAACTCAATATCAAAGACTCCTCGCGAGAATATTAATCCATTTTCAATATTTACGTTAACAAAAATGAACGAATATAAGATTAATGCAAGAGAAAAGAATGAATATGGCTTTGTACGAGTTCTAAAAAAGGGCAGTGTCAAGTCTTCCTTTTTCTGTAGGCGATTGTTATGTGTGGTATTTGCTCGGCAGTCAGTGTAATTAGGTTGCCGATATTTTGACGTATGTATAATGGACAAATAATCTAGTTACACAATCGCTTAGAGCTAGTATGCCACAGAATCGATATCACAGAACACCGTCGCATACGAACTGACAGATTTACACAGGGTTACAGAGCGGTTGGGTAGCCTAGCGGTTAAAGCAAAGACCCGGGTTCGATTCCCCACATGGGTACAATGTGTGAAGCCCATTTCTGGTGTCCCCTGCCGTGATATTGATGGAATATTGCTAAAAGCGGCGTAAAACTATACCCACTCACACATTGTTACAACCCGGGTCGACTACGTTTAGAGCTTCACCATGCCTGGGTTGTCTAAAGGAGGAAAGGAAACAAATTAAGAATGTATTGTAATTTTAAGTATTTTCCAAATTGTGAGTTTTATGTTAGTAATTTTATGCCTCGTTCTTATAGACGAGCAATTGCTAGTTTTAGAAGTGTAACAGCCCCTATAAGGATTGAGACGGGACGATACGATGGCACAGTTTTAAATGAGAGATATTGTTTTTCATGTCAGAATATTTTAGAAGATGAATGCCATGTTTTACTTAAATGTCTTTTATACAATGTAGAGAGATCCCAGTTACTTGATCTATGTTTCAACAGTTGTCCAAATTTTGATATTTTATCTGATATTGAAAAGTTATGTTTTATACTGTCCAGCCATGATGTTTGCTATGTTGCGGCCAAAACCTGCTATTATATTTTAAAGAAAAGAAAAGACATTTTATATCGTCGTTAAACACGTTGTTTATATACTTTTTAAATATATATCTGCATATATGTGTAAATAGTATATACAGTCTCTCATAACTCCATGTCGAGTGGCTCAAATTTTAATAAAATGCTGTATTTTATAATGTACATTCATGAGGGGAGACTTAATTAAAAATCTGTCTGTCTGGGTTTCTCCGTGGCT